GAGAGAGAGAGAGAGAGAGAGAGAGAGAGAGAGAGAGAGAACTGAAAATGGTGTTCTTGCAGGGGTCCGGATGGGTGTCTAGAGGAGACTGATCCTCTGATTTCGCTTGTCCATTTGTGTTTGGTGCTATCGTGGCAGACGCTGTGGAATGGGAGGAATGAGCAAGTCTTCCATAATCTTTGATGAGAGGTGCTTTTTCAACTGCATCTTCAGGTTCGTGTTTTCTTGCTTCAATGACTTTGCCTCTTGCAATAATCTCCACCTCTGGTTGAGCAGACAGTTGTACGCAAGAAGGGCTTTCTGTAACACCCCCCAAATACGAAAAACTCTAGGAGAAATCACATTCATCAGCCGACCCCAGTATGCCATCTGCTCCGATCGCACCATTTCTAGCTGGCTCTTGGTGAGGTGAGTATGTTTCCTCCGCATCGGTAAACCCCTACCACTTTCATGCTCAGAAATTACAAACTGCCGCAGCCTTTCCGCCAATTTGTCGGGGTGAACGAGTGTCACGTCCTGCTCCCTAGCTCCTTGGTCTTTGCTCTCGTCCTCTCCTCCATCGCCATTCGACTCCTGGTCGCTGTCGTTCCCTATAAACATATTCACAGACGGCTGTGTGCCGTCGGGCACCTGCAGGAACTGCCAGAGCCTCTCCAATCCTGCTGGGTCTTGGATGCCCAACGCTCGCAAGATAGACTCAACCTTCAAGCTCTTCTGCTCTTTCGGCGAGTCGACTAACGCCAGAAGCTGCTTGACTTTGTTGTCGACAAGGTAGGCGACTTCTTCGTGGAGCATTCTCATCAGTTGCTTGTACTTGGAGTCCGCCATCGCCTCCATGAGCAACGGCAGATCCTCTTCGGCGTCTTCCTTGCCCTTGTTAGAACCTTCTTTCGAATCCCCGAACCCAGTCATCGCTTTCTTCAGTGCGCTCGAATATGCCGCCTCAAACTCAGGTGAGGTGAACAGCTCTTGGCTGGGAGGTCTCCACTGCCACCCCAACTGCTGCTCTGTCACAACCTTGTCCGCCTGAAGAAGTTTACGGATAAGGATGGCGACCGAATCTTCTTGCATGATCCATACTGCCTGGTATATAAATAGATCTGCAAGCTGGAAGTGTTTGAACTTCTTCTCGAGATGTTTGTATTGGTCCGTAACCCGTTTGTAGTCTTCGGTCAGCCTCATGTTCTGGTCCTGATACCTCCTTTCTTGCTCCGTATACTTGGCCTTCAGCCCACTCAGCACATCCCTTTGACGGGCGATCTTCCGCTTTTGCTGGTTCAGCGTAGCTTGGTTCTCGATGTCTCGCTCGACAAGGACTCTGTAGTTGTACTCCAGCTTCTCCGTGTTCAATTGGTAAGTGGCCCTCATGACCTCCAAGTGCTGCTCAAGGTTCTGGATTTCCGTCTCGAGTCTGATCTTCAGAATGTTGTACTCCTCCGCGTCTTGCTTGCGCTGCTGCTCGAGGATCTCCGCGTACTCGTCGGCTTTGCGAAGCATTAGCTCTTGGAACTGGGTTTCCAGCAGTCGCCGCTTTTCGAACAACGCGTCTATCTCCGCCTTGTTCTTGTTCAAAAGGTCTTGCCTTTCTTGCAGAAACGCAAGCTCAATTTCCTGCAGTTCGGCGAGGAATGCGCGCTCCAGAGCCTTGAACTGACCACTCGCCGCAGCCAAGAGTTGATCTATCTCCTTGGCCTGGGTCTTGAGGGTCCGGACATACTCATCATCTTTGCTCTTCAACTCCGAACGACTCTCTTCCTGGAGCTTTTCCTTACCCTGGAGGATCTCCCCACAGGCCTGCAGCTGCAGTCCGATCTGCGCTGCCAGCTCCTCTGGGACCTCCACCTCGAACAGGTCCAACCAGTTAGTCGCAAGAATGGCGTTGGCCTGAACACTTGTTTCGGCCTCCTGTATCAGCCGGGACCGCATTTCATGCCGAAGCGTGGCCTCGTTGTTGCGATGGGTGCACTCGCGTTCGTGAGCCTGAAGACGGATGCTGGTAACGTCCATGAAACCGGAGGACCGTAGTCTGGCCAGCTTCTTGAGGCTGTCGAACATTTGCATCTTGCCAAGCCCCAAGTCCTTCTTCTCCTCTTCTTGTTTCTTCTTTGGCGCTGCTCCATCTTCGCCCTGTTGTTTTGCCAAAATCCGGACCTGAATCCGTGCGCGCCTTGCTTTTATCCGCTCCTCCCGAGTTGTAGGGGGGGGCTTTTCTGCATCCATCATCACAACTGACACAACGCCGGCAGATTCAGTTTGGGTTCCTCCATCCACACCAGACCAGACCAGACCAGACCCGACTCTCGATGCTTCGTCGCTCTGCCGCCACCTGTCAATGCCACAGCTCTGCTGCCACCTGTCAATGCCTCAATCCCCATTCGGGGGGGGGGGG